AATATAATATCATGTTTTAGCACAAGAATCTATGTTCATTAGAGTTTTATCTTTTAAATATTTATGTTATAAGGAAGAATTGTGGAATTCAAAAAAATATAAACCAATTGTCCTAATTTTTGATAATGTTGAAATAAGAATTACATGTCGTTCCATTTAGATAAATACATTTTAAACTGTTAACAATCTATTTATGTTACGAACATTTGTTTTCAATATTCCAAGAAGGTATATGAAACTCCAACACTCAAAAAATAAAATATAATAGATACATGGTTCTGATCTTGTTTATCAGGAAATTAGTTCATAAGATAGCAAGAGTTAACATCTTGGAAAACAATGCTTCCTACCTAGAAGAAGAGAAAACTGGGGTTAAAACCCAACACTTCCTTCTTACACGAACATAGAACTACAGTTAAAACCCAACACTTCCTTCTTACATGAACATAGAACTACAGTTAAAACCCAACACTTCCTTCTTACATGAACAGAAAACTACAGTTAAAACCCAACACTTCCTTCTTACACAAACATAGAACTACGGTTAAAACCCAGCACTTCTTTCTTACATGAATAGAAAACTACAGTTAAAACCCAACACTTCCTTCTTACATGAACATAGAACTACAGTTAAAACCCAACACTTCCTTCTTACACGAACATAAAACTACAGTTAAAACCCAACACTTCCTTCTTACACGAACATAAAACTTCAGTTAAAACCCAACACTTCCTTCTTACACGAACATAGAACTACAGTTAAAACCCAACACTTCTTTCTTACATGAATAGAAAACTACAGTTAAAACCCAACACTTCCTTCTTACATGAACATAGAACTACAGTTAAAACCCAACACTTCCTTCTTACACGAACATAAATCTACAGTTAAAACCCAAAACTTCCTTCCTACAGGAACATAGAACTACAGTTAAAACCCAACACTTCCTTCTTACATGAACAGAAATCTACACTTAAAACCCAACACTTCCTTCTTACACAAACATAGAACTACAGTTAAAACCCAACACTTCCTTCTTACACGAACATAAAACTACGGTTAAAACCCAACACTTCCTTCTTACATGAACAGAAATCTACAGTTAAAACCCAACACTTCCTTCTTACACGAACATAAAACTACGGTTAAAACCCAACACTTCCTTCTTACATGAACAGAAATCTACAATTAAAACCAACACTTCCTTCTTACACGAACATAGAACTACAGTTAAAACCAGAAACTGTTTTTCATAGTGGATTAGAAGATAATTTGGTCTTGTCTTATTTACACATGTGGATATTATAAAAAGTGATATATGATAATACCTTTTACAGCTGTAATACTGGCTATAAGGGAAGAAAATGTGAACAGACAGATACTGAATGTAAGTTTTCAATCTTTATTATTTATATTACATCTTTGATAGTTTGACTTAAATTATTAAGGACTTGTGAGATTTTCACATTATTCAATACTGTTGACTTAGCATACGTATATTTTAAATTAGTGATAAATCTGCAGTATATTTACAATGTTTATTAATGGTAACAGTAGTAACTGTGTATCAATACCTGCTGGTTGTAAACCAAATATATATTAATAAATTCAATATATTTACTCTTTCTTAAGCCTCACGAAATGAACAGACACAAATGAATCATCAAAAACACAGTAAATAATCCATATCTTGCTATACAAGACTATTTATTACTGCTTCCAATAACATGACCTATTTAGGGTTATGTGGATGGTAGATATTTATTATATAGATGTAACGTCATGACTTATTTAAGGTTATATGGATGGTAGATATTTATTATATAGATGTAACATCATGATTTATTTATGGTTATATGGATGGTAGATATTTATTATATAGATGTAACATCACAACGTATTTAAGGTTATATGGATGGTAGATATTTATTATATAGCTGTAACATCACAACTTATTTAAGGTTATATTGATGGTAGATATTTATTATATAGATGTAACATCATGATTTATTTATGGTTATATGGATGGAAGATATTTATTATATAGATGTAACATCACAACGTATTTAAGGTTATATGGATGGTAGATATTTATTATATATATGTAACATCATAACTTATTTAAGGTTATATGGATGGTAGATATTTATTAAATAGATGTAACATCACAACTTATTTAAGGTTATATGGATGGTAGATATTTATTATATAGATGTAACATCACAACTTATTTAAGGTTATATGGATGGTAGATATTTATTATATATATGTAACATCATAACTTATTTAAGGTTATATCGATGGTAGATATTTATTATATAGATGTAACACCATGACTTATTTAAGGTTATATGGATGGTAGATATTTCTTATATAGATGTAACATCACAACTTATTTAAGGTTATATGGATGGTAGATATTTATTATATAGCTGTAAAAGTTATTGGATCTATTAAATCATGTATGTAAGTTAACACCAATGTAGTTGACCTAATACATGATTATATAAGATAGTACCAGTGTAGTGGATCTAATACATCATGTATGTAAGTAAAGACCAGTGTGGTGGATCTAATACATCATGTATGTAAGTTAACACCAATGTAGTTGACCTAATACATGATTATATAAGATAGTACCAGTGTAGTGGATCTAATACATCATGTATGTAAGTTAACACCAGTATAGTGGATGTAATACATCATGTATGTAAGTTAAATGCCAGTTATTGGATCTATTAAATCATGTATGTAAATTAACACCAAAGTAGCTGATTTAATACATGATTATGGGTGCTAATTAATGTTTTCCTACTGACGTAAAGCTACCATGTTTGTTGTAATCCACGTTAATAAATACCTTAAACCTTGACTTTTTAAATACTTATTTTATCTTTATTTACTTTGTATTCCGTTTTCAACCTCATCAAAATTTTTATCTAAGACACGTATATCTAGGGTTAGAATAAACTTGCTATCACTCAAAAAATCCCACAATCTTCTAATCAGTTCTTTGTCATCACATACCTATCATAACTAAAACTGGTAACTAAAATAATTATATGGTGTATGGTATTATCATGTGCAGATGTTTTTATTATATATATAAAACCAACTGGAGGTGTTGTCTGTTTTATCTTTGTGGAACTGAATTAGACTATTACATTACTTTAAAAACATTTACTGGTACTTTCAATAGAATATTTATTTTTTCTTAACATATCATCTTATAAGCATTGTGTTATTTTTTCCTTTCCTAGAGTACCATGTTACAAATACTTTTTGGTAATATTGTTTGACAATATTTACTGTTGCATGTGTATATATATATGTTTTTCATCGTTAGTGTAGCACCCTAGTTTCTTAGAAAGTGTATCATGTTACACGATCTTATTCAACTTCTGTTCCTGTGTACCATGTTAGAAGTGTTATTTCTTTCTTTCCCTTTGCACCATGTTACAGGTGCTTCTTCTGCTTATTTTCCAGTATATCATTATATAAGAACTTATTTTGTTCTTTTCCCAGTGTAACATGCTACTGGCATTGTTTTATCTTTTCACTGTTTACAATGTTAGATTATGCTATTCTGCTCAATTCCTAGTGTACCTTTCTTCCTAGACGGAATTGAGAAACAAAATAATATGGATCAATTTGAGACACCAGAACCATCCAGAAAGAGACCTGCATCGAATCGTACCCCAGCCGTAGTAATCAATGTGAGGCGTCTTTTAACAGGTGAGAGTTTTGAAACATAAATATCGGTGACAAAAGCCGTTCATGTACCCAAAATCACCCGAGGAAGGGCGTGAATATTAAACCATCTATTTCGTATTAGCCATTTTTCGTGGTATAATTATTTTCCACCTTTTATTTTCTGTTGTATTTTAATCGTCTGTTTGCCGACATATTAAACATTTAGAAAGTCCACAAGTACAGGGTGTACTGAACAGTTTACATGTGTATATATCAAGAACTTAGAAACGTCCTCAAGTTCAGGATGGACTGAACAGTTTACTTGTATATATATCAAGGACTTAGAAAGTCCACAAGAACAGAATGATTCCAACAGAAATATACATACGTATATTTAGAATTTCGAAATGTTTTCAATTATAGAAAGTTTTCAACAATATATTTTTATATACAATAAGAATTTAGAAACGTCCGCTAGAATAGGATGTACTAGTATGACGTGTAATATAATTTCACACACAGGAGAGTCGATTCCAAGAAGTCTAAAACAAAAATATACAATAAATACCTTCAGAAAAAACAAAACCAAGATACTTCTTCATAATTATATCTTTTTTGTTATTTTCTGAATCACGTTATACGGTACCTTAAGCCTATACATAACGTTCCTAAATAGTTTAGGTAAATCATGACCAATATAATGTTAAGAACATCACAGTTGATAATAAACACATGTATTTGTAAGTGACAACAAACGTGAGGAAAGAAAACACATTTTTTCCAAAAATATTCAATTACAAAAATTGCCTTAAACTTAGCGAGTCAACTTCGTTGTGAACTGAACGTTTCATCACAGTTCACTCTATTATTATTAAATAAACTGAGTGAAGAAACGTTTGTGAGATTATTTGATGATTTAAAATATTTATTCATGTTTTCAGGATTTACACCTTATGTACTCAGTGATTGTACCACGTGACGCTATAAACTACACATTATTATCGACACTCCAACCTGATAAAGATAACCAGTCAGAACGTTGTTCAAGTATTCTACAAACGGACACTCCGACCTTATGAAGATGGCCAATAAAAACGTTGTTCAAGTATCCTGCAAACGGACACTCCGACATGATGAAGATGGCCAATATAAACGTTGTTCAAATATCCTACAAACGGACTACTATACAGACACTCCAACATATCATTATATTTACGTTTTATTAATGTTATTTTGAGATGTTCTAATCTTTAGTTTTATATGAACCATAACTATGATCTTTATACGAGTCAAAAGAAGACTTCTCTTATTGTGTGATAACCTTTATTTATATCTTATTTCACATTTTACACTAGATTATACATAACTGGCTAAATTAACGTATTGAAATAATCATATATTTTACTTGCTAATATATCAACAGAGCACTAATGACTAGAGAATTAAAAATTTGGCATTTATTAATGAATTGATATTTCCCTTGAACTGTAGCAGAAACAACATAAACAATGAAGACAATTTTTGAAACAGATGAAAAAATTTTCGCTTTCTGCATATTATTAGAAACGTTGTCTGACAATTAATTCCTTCAAATGGGTTTTGTCTTTTGCTAGAACATTTTTTAATGAAAACGTTAGCCCTAATTATTAGTAACACTGTCTGTCATGAGTTTTAAAGACAGGAAAAATCAAACTATAGTATTAACAGGAGTTGTTCATGATTGGGTGTAGACGCGAGCCGCGTCTGGTGACTCGCGATGTGATTGGTCCAGTCACTTTTTGTCCTCGGAATCCATCACAGTTCTTGTTTGAGACTGCTTCTTTCGAAGGCTGTAAATAGCAAATGAGATAATTTGAAGCTTTTAAATGTGACCACTAGGTTTCATTTAAAATATTATTTGGGAAACATAATTGTAAAATAGCTTTTCGACTCGAATGCAAATTAGTTCATGTTATTGAATAATATCTGAAACCGGTAAGTTTTATTGAATTCACTAGAATAAGTTGAATACATCTTGTACGCACATTTTCTCGTAAAACAAACCTAACTGTATTACTTTTAAATTGACATTCTTAAAAAATCTTTTTTGTTATCAAAAGATGGCAACAAGTGATTGAATATCTATACTTTGGCCAATAGATTTTAAACTTGTATTAGATAACGTATTCAATGTTACACAGCTAATTACTGTAGCATACGTTTTTGACGTAGGTGGTAGTTTATTTTTAAATCTATTATCAGTAAACTAAACAACAAATATTTAAAACCAAGACAGTTTCGTGTAAACATTTAGTATATTTTTCAAATAGAAAAATTAACCCTTACTTGTAGAAAATAATGACGAAAACGATGATAACCAGGGCTAGGAGTCCTCCAAGAACTCCTCCCACAATAGCTACATTTGCTTTCCAAGAATCATCTAACCAAAAACAAATTGTATAAAAATTATATGCAAATCACTATTACAACATACTAAATAATAAATGATTTTATATCGATGTAATGCTTTGAATTAGTATCTGCCCGTCTATATAACTCTATGTAAGTCATGATGGCATTTAACTAACATACATGATGTATTAGATCCACTACACTAGTACTATCTTATATAATCTTCTATTAGGTCAACTACATTGGTGTTAACTTACATACATGATTTAATAGATCCAATAACTGGCAGTACTTAGCTTTATTTTAATCACATACGTATCTATAAATATTGTAATATCTCCATTGTAAAGTTTGCTGACGTGTATTATTAATTTTTGTAAAACATTTTTCTAGAAAACAACTTATAAAACATATATAACATTAAAATAATCACAGCCTATATGAAGACTTCAAAGAAAACTAGAAAATAATTTACGTTTTACTTCTCCTGTAAGTATGGGTAAAAGAAGCAGAACCAGATACAGGTATCTCATCTTGAACCGGGAAGTCTTCGCACGATTGTTCTTTACATCCAAGCTGTGAATAACTGAATAGCTAAAAAAGATAACTTTAGCTACGCACTGATCACGTGACGAAAATACTCTGTTTGTAACTAAGGTGGGTTGACGATAAGAAAAACGTTATCAATCTTTATATACGAAAACCAACAAACTGATAGAATCAAATATGAAATCTTAAAGAAATATTTATTCTATGCTCATACACGTTAGTTTTTAGTGAACATAAGCAGAAAGTTATCAATGTTGACAACCCCAGAAATTTATACCCCCTATTCCATCTTTCGGATAACGTTTATTTTAACTAATAAATGAAACAAATATTTCTTCCCTTCTATGGTGGTGACGATCATTTCAGGAAGAGGGAAGACAGTGTGAATAATCACATTGTGTCGTCCCTCCCCCACAGTCGGGCCCGGCATGGCCAGGTGGTTAGGGAGCTCGACTCGCAATCTGAGGGTTGTGGGTTCGAATCCCGTCACACCAAACATGCTCGCCCTTTCAGCCGGTCAAAGTTATGGTCAATCCCACTATTCGTTAGTAAAATAGTAGCCTAAAAGTTGGCGGTGGGTGGTGATGACTAGCTGCCTTCCCTCTAGTCTTACACTGCTAAATTAGGGACGGCTAGCGCAGATAGCCCTCGTGTAGCTTTGCGCGAAATTCAGAACAATCCCCCATAGTTAAACAGAAATCATGTATCTAATACATCATGTATGTAAGTAAAGACCAGTGTGGTGGATCTAATACATCATGTATGTAAGTTAACACCAATGTAGCTGACCTAATACATGATTATATAAGATAGTACCAGTGTAGTGGATCTAATACATCATGTATGTAAGTAAAGACCAGTGTGGTGGATCTAATACATCATGTATGTAAGTTAACACCAATGTAGTTGACCTAATACATGATTATATAAGATAGTACCAGTGTAGTGGATCTAATACATCATGTATGTAAGTTAACCATTGTTGTTTTAGAGCAGTTTTTATATCCTTTTCTACAATCATTATAGAGATTCTGCAACTTTTAAATAGCACCTTATACACATCTCCTTTTTATTAGAAGTTCATTCTTTCTCTTGACGACCTGGAATAAAAATAACTTATAGTTACAAAAAAAGGAGTTATTTGTCCTCACCGTACACCCGAGCTGACGAGATATGGTATTGAACGAATGACTCTTAGGCAGTGACTTGTGGAAGACAAAATATAGATCTGAAATGCATTTTTTTATACATTTCTGATTTTTACCTGGTTCGAACTTCGCGCAAAGCTACACGAGGGATATCTGCGTTAGCCGTCCCTAAATTAGCAATAAAAAACTACAGGGAAGGCAGCTAGTTATCACCACCCACCGCTATTTCTGGGGCTACTCTTTTACCAACGAGTACGAATAGTGGGATTGACCGCGACTTATAACGCCCACAAAGCTGTAAGGGGCGAACATGTTTGGTAGGACGAAGATTTGAACCCGCGACTCTCAGACTGCGAGTAGAGTGCCTTAACCACCTGCCCATGACGGACCTTTTTGAGTGGTAAGAAGAAACATACAGATAAAGTGATTTATGTTATAATTTTCTAAGCAGTGTTTCTTTTTATTCATACAAGTCATTCTTAAATAGTTGATAAAGTGACTTCACCATAGATATTTATCAAATAAACTGTGTTTGAACTAAAAACTATAATTTTATAACGAGAAATAAGAACCAAAAATACCCTGCAGTATTGAATGTTATTTGAACTTCGAAAAACCAAACGTGTTGAAAATTAGATAACATCAGATATTAAGTTACGGAATAAACGGGTTGGTGTAAGTTATAAAATAAACAAGTGAGTTAATACAAAACGTTGAAAACATTCACTAAACAGCTTGATAGAAAATAGATAAAAGAAAATCATATTTTACAGGTGTCCTATACTGATATCATTTTATGGGGTTATTAGTACTTGAACTACCAGAGCTCTAGAAGACAACTGTTAGTGTAACAGCTAACCAATTCTTAAAAAAATGAGTATTTAAAACTGTGAACGGACACTTAACAGATACACCCTCTAAAAGTGGTCTCTAAAGCTATGGACGAACAAGTTAACAAATAGTCATTCTAAAAATGGTCGTCCAAACTATAGACGAACAACTTAACAAATACTCAGTAAAATGATCACCAAAACTATAAACAGATAAATTAACAAATATTCATTCTAAAAATGGTCGACAAAACTGCAGAGGTACTAATTATTGTCATTCCTTTTAGAAAGCATTAGCCAAAATTTAGACTTTGAACTTCAGAGATTACTCATTACAAATTCAACTTATTTTAATCCAAGAGTTTTATATCCTAAATCCTAACCATTCTGGCAATGGACTCATTAGGGTTAACCTAATATAAAAAAAATATCATGTGTAGAAATAAAAATGGTGAAAGACTCTACGAAACGTTATTTACAGGTGAAACACTTTAGAAGTTACAGCCAGCTAAGACTAAGTAACCAATAGGACTAACAATTGTTATAAAAAGACTCTATGAAACGCTATTTACATGTGCAGTACAACACATTAGAAGTTACAACCGGCTAAAACTTAGTAACAAATAGGCCTAAAAATTGTTATACAAAGACTCTATGAAACGTTATTTATATGTGAAACACTTTAGAAGTTACAGCCGGCTAAAACTTAGTAACCAATAGGCCTAAAAATTGTTATACAAAGACTCTATGAAACGCTATTTACATGTGCAGTACAACACATTAGAAGTTACAGCCGGCTAAGACTTAGTAACCAATAGGCCTAAAAATTGTTATACAAAAG